CCCCGGAGGTACGCGCACAGTTTTTGTCACGAGCGCCTGCACGGTGGCAAACGCCCGACGCTCCGTGGTGGGGGAAGACAAAAAAGTAACGCGTCGGCCCGATGGGAGCTCAATGCACCCCTGGTCAATCAGGATACGGATGGGCATTTTGGCCAAGAAATCCGTCCCCAACAGGCACGGAACCGCGAGTGAGGAGGAAACCAAAACAGGGCCGGATAATTTAATGTCTCCGATGCAGATAGTGGCGCGGATTTGCCCAATAATGCCCAGCGAGCCCCCGTTAGCAGCATAGCATGGCACGTCAACAGGGAGCAAGGGACGACTTTGAACGGGAAGGATGTTATAAATCAAATCAGATATAATGGTCGCCGATGCCCCTGTGTCAATTAAAATCCGCACCTCTACCCCATCAATGTGACCGACCACAACCGATGATCCCGCCGACGCAGCAGCAACACGATGGGCGAGCTCCGACCACTGACCTGGTTGGAGCGCTCGCCGCATTACCGAACAATCGCGCGCGACGGACGGGGAATTTGGAGCCCTGTTTAGTTGAGCGCGTGAGTGTGTGTCGGATGTGTGTGTGGGCCAAACGTGTGAGGTGCCGCGACTCGCCGTATTTCTCTGCTGGAGCTTGGGAGGAGACGGCGTGGCGTCCTGGCGAGGTGTCGCCCCGCGCTGACGGGGAGCCCGGCATCCTGACGCAACGTGGCCTTGCAGGCCACAGTTGTAGCAGCGTGTGAGCGCCCCCGATGTCCTGGGCTGCTCCTGGCGACTCGGTCCATTCCGAGCCTGTGGCGCCGCCGATCTCCATTCCCCTCGCCGCTCCACCCCGCAGACCTCCTCCGACGGGAGGGCGGTGGCCGCCATGGCATGGCCGGCCGCTCCCTTTGCCGCCTTCCGACGTAGGGACCGCAAGCCCCCGTGTATGTGGCGCGCGATCAGCAGGGACGACATCTCCGCGTCGTCTTGAGCCAGGACGTTGACGTCCAGCTCATCAGCGAGTAGCAGCAGCTTCTCAGCTACCATGGCATCCACTCCTTCCTCGTCCATCCTTGGAAAAGCAGCCTTTGCCAGGGCTAGGAGAGCCGTCCGGAAGGCCAGGGGCGATTCGTTAGCACCCCGATGCCGATCGTGGAACAGCTGCCTGCAGTCCGAAGGCGGCCCATAGACGGCCGACAGCAGCTGCAACGCCAGGTGTAGAGTGGCGCGCTTTTCCCTAGGCGCCGAGGTGAGGGTAGCCAGAGCGTCGTCCAGCATCGCCGGCAGCGCGCGTAGAGCCTCGGCGTCCGTCCAGTTCGCCATCTCTTGATGAGCGATGAACCGCCTCTTGAAGCCGCCCCAGTCTCCGTCTGCGCCTACGAATTCTTTCAGAGGCGGCAGACGCTGCTGCAAGGCGACGTCCGTGGCTGTAGATCGCTCTCCGTCGCTCCCCGCCGATGATACAGTGTGGGCGGGCTGTGCACATGGCATCGCCGGTCGCTCCGATGTTGACGCGCCGGCCGGTGTTGATGATGTCACGGCTTGTGCTTGGCGCTCAGCAGTCACGTGACGCGGGCCGGCCCCGCCGTCCGCTCGCACTGTAGAGATGGCGGGAAATTTAACCGCCAGCCGCGTCGGGGTGGCGGGAAACGTCGCCGCGCGCCGGCTGCTGTCGTCGACCCGCGCTGCCCCTCCAGCCCCCAGCCGCGTGATCTCCTCCAACGCAGCGGCCGCGGCGTAGAGCAGTTCCGCCAGGCGGGAGTGGGCCAGCCGGAGTCCTTCAGCCGACGCATCCCCCCCCTCTTGTCGTAGCGGCGCGGGCGTACTCGGCCCCGGCTGCTCCGATCCGACCCCGGCCATCTCTGTTGTTGATTCGGCCGCGGCGTCTTCCATCTCCGACTCCTTGGTACGTGTCGTCCCTCGTGTGTCCATCGTTTGGACGTTTTACTTCTGACACCAGATGTAGTAAGTATATGGAGGCTTGACGACAGGATCGGAGGCACACTTATTTATTACACCAACACAGTTATTACAGGTCACTGGGCTACAGGGATTTCTCGACAGCTAACCCCTCTAACCTATACCAATTCCTCCACTACGGGACTAGGGGAGGCTATCTGTCCCAGCTTGGTTAAGCTGGGATCCCGGCTCCCTGAGTCACCAGACCAGCTTCGTCTGGGCTCTCGGGGCCACGCCACCGGCTTGCCCTGGTCGGCCCTTATAAGGACAGCGAGCCAGGGGAGCTCTGGGGCCTACACTAGCAGGTCTTCCGTCTTCTCTGGTTAAAGCTGAGTCCCCCCCTCGAGCCCTCGAGCTCATCACCTTTTATAGGACTCCCCCCGAGGGGGGGCCCGTGGGGGATGCACATTCGGACGTCGGTGCGAGCGCCACCCTTGTGTACGGCCGTAACCCCGCCCCTTGTGTTTGTTGGCCATCCGTGGCCATGCATAATCACACCTCAACATTCGTAACCATGCGCAATTACACCTCTACACATGCAATACCCCGGTGTCTACAAACTAAGCTGTGCCTGCGGCAGTAGTTACATTGGGGAAAGTAGGCGACATGTCTCGGACCGTGTTCACGAACACAAGGTGGATCTGAAACACGGTAGGACCTACACCTCTGCCGTGGCTGATTACTGTTTTAACGCTGTGGGCACACATGAAATAAATTTCTCCAAGACGAAGGTAGTATGCACACCCACTGGCTATCAACAAAGATTTGTTCATGAAGCCATCCAGATATATAAACACAGACACAATTTCAACTGAGGAATATGGGTACAAACTGAGCAATCATTGGAAGGACGTTATTAACCAGGTGAAGTCATAACTGGCTGTGATGCTTCCAGCCTACCTGCCTATGTTAGCAGTTATTTCTGACTCTCTGAGTTACATTACCTTGTTAAATGCCTTTACATTAACAGGCTAAATGTCTCACTAACATAGCTGCTGCTCCCTTTTCCTCGATGCGGTGGTGGGGCTCGTTTAATAGGCTGAATGTCTCTCATTAACACAGCCGCTGCTGCGGGAGCCATCTCACATTGACATGCTAATCTCTAATCTCGAGCAATACATGCTAATCTCTAGCAACACAATAACCGAGGTATACCTAGTTCTGCGATCTTACATTTACTTGCAAATTCCATCTCTAGCCCCGCCCACTTACCCTTGGGTTGTACCCATCTCAAACCTATATAAACTTTGGCTGCAGTAGTTCTCTCGCTATATTTCTTCATGCCTCAGCAGTCCGCGTGCTGTATTTTTTCACCTCAAGACGATTGCTAGTGTTGCGATCGAAACGCCGTGATTTATTATTTATTATTTTTCTATCTACGTGAAATTACCGAAAGACCCAAAGAGTATAAAAATAGTTTCTTGTTGTCCAACAGCTATGTACAAGCTCACGCATATAGAACAGTATGGTACATTAACGTTACAACACTATACACTTGCATTTTAATACACAGCAAAACACACTTTCATATTACAACAAAGGTATTACATTCAAATACAGAAATCCTTTCCCAACCGCAGGGGGTTAGGTTCCTGGAAAAGGCTGCGGTAGACAAACCCACGGTTCTTAAAGTATAGGGGCCTAAGGGAAATAGGGGGCTCGAGGAACCGCGGACGCGGTCAGACTCATCGTAGCTTAACTAAGTAGCCTGTTTATTAACTAAACACCGAATAATATACGGTACAGGTAGTCCCCGATTAACACGATAAATGCGTTCTTGAAAATCTTTGTGGAAGGTAAAATAGTGTTAATTGAGCACTCATATCCCACAAAAAATATATGTAAAAAGGGGGAGTTGCGTTCCAAGCCCCCAAACTCGATCGACAAATGTATAATTTTTATTAATTTATTATGACTATATTTTGGTTAGTGCTTTCATTATTTCCTTTTTTATGTATATTTTATGCACGAATAACATTTAAAAAGAAAAGAAACAATGATGAAGGTAACCTAAAGTAAAGAATACTGTCGTCTGCGCTTGTGAGTTGTGATGGGTGGAGTGAAGAGAGAGCGAAAAAGTGTAAGAATGAAAAACGGATCAGTGCAGTTAACACTTTTAACAAATTCGAACGTTTTTGTACATAAATAACACATTTATATTGTTCAGGTTTTAAACCTGCAATTATAAATTCCGTCGGATGGTTCGCAGTGTACCATCATGCAAGCCAGTAGCATGGACAATATTACAATGTGCGCTCATTGTTCTCATAACGCTTAAGCACATCAAGTTTTTGCTCTCATGTTACCACTTTTCTTATTTTCTTACTTATACTACCACTAGAAGCATCACCACCACGTTTCTTACCTTTACCAGCCATCACGAATGTAAATGCAAATGTATAGAATTGCGATATTAACCGCGCGCACGTCTGAGCTAGCATGAGGCGGAACAAAGACTGAGTGGGGTGGCTAGCTGCTGCTGCTCGCTGCCTGCGACGCTTGTATTGCCTCATGCTTGGGTACTGTACTGTACACGGGAACATGGTGAAAAATTCCGCTTCTGGAAAATTCCACTAAAATTGTGTGAAATCGTGTTAAGTTGACTTCGTTATAAAGGAGCTTCATTGCCAGAGGCTCCGATAACCAAGGTATTCCTGTAGTTGACAGCTCAGTTCAATCACAGGCAGTAGCAGCAACTGCCTGGATTCAAACCCAGGATATGGTGCTGGCTCAGTGCTCTGGGCTCTGATCCACCCAGACACCTGTCCACCCTATGATCTCAGAGTATCTGTGACACATCCATTGTCCTCTACACAGGTCCTTCATGCATGTTTATCCATTGTGTGTCCATTGAGTGTTCCCGTCACGTGACCGTCACATGACACACGTGTGATTGCCACATTTAATCTCGCGACCATCATGTGACTGCTGAGCCTTTGCAGTGTGACCCATGACGTGACCACCATGTGTTTATTGTGTGACCAACGACATGCCTGCTTCTTAACCTATGCGTGTCCTGTTGTGTGACCGTACTGTGTCCGTCCTCTGCACGCCCTCAGGGCCGAGCAGCCGGCATCGACCATAACCAGGAGCTATTTGCCCACGCGCCACCCCCTCAGCCGGTCACCTCCTTCCTGGATGCGGTACAGCAGCTGAAGCCAACGGCTATCATCGGTAATGGTCGTACACACGGCCCCACACTCACCGCAACAAAACAGGCCCGTTGACTCTCCCGCTCACCTGCCCACAAACCCTCCTGCTCGAATGCTCACCTGCTCGCTCATCATCCTGCTGACCTGACCACCCCACTCGCCCTCCCGTTCACCCGCCCGCTCATCCTCCCGCTTGCTCGCTCACCTGCCCACCTGCCTGGCCACCTTCACCTCACCTGCTGTCTTTTCCCACCTCCCATCGTGCCCTTGTCCTCATCCTCGCGTTGGCAGGAGTGGCCGGTGCCGGGCGGCTCTTCACGCCGGATGTCATCCGCGCAATGGCAGCGCTGAACGAGCGGCCAATCATCTTCGCGCTCAGCAACCCCACGACACAGGCGGAGTGCACAGCCGAGGAGGCCTACACTCTTACAGACGTATGCGCACGCACATGCTCACAAACATAATATGCACACGCAGGCTCACAGAATTATGCTCACATAAACACACATGCTCACGAATGTAGTCCGTATACAAACAAAAGACAACTACAATCACCCATTGCCAATAAGTGGCAGTGACGTCACCATGGTGCTTGTGCTATTCTAGGTGCTATTCTAGGTGGGCCTGCTGACAGCAGGTCATTAAACAGGCCCACGTGCCATGGGTTGACTGACTGAGGTGACTGGCAGATGCAGTCGGTCCTCACTTAACGTAGGCCTGTTTAACGTTGTTTTTCTACAAAGTCGCCGATGAATTATGACCCACATATGCATTTAACGTTGCTTGGTATCGCTCGAACATCATTGCCGATGGGCAACTCCTTTGCACTGCGGAAAATGAACCGGCAGCATGACACATATGTTGCTAGGCAACGCCCCCTGCCGGCCCAGTGTGGCCATACTGTATGGTAAATTCTTACTTCTTGAGCTGCGTGATTGAGCGGTACGATACGGTACGCAGAATTTTATGACACGCCGCCGCATACCCTCATCTCAGTTCATTGTGGACTGTTTTGGTTTTGATTTAGGGAGGTTATTTATTTTTCGATTTAAAGCTTTCGTGACTGCAGGGATTCATCTTCTTGGTTTTTTCGGTAAAGTCACGTAGAAGGGAAGTAATAAAATAATAAAAATAAAACATAATAAAATAATTCTCACGACGTTTCGGCTACAACGCAAGCAGCCGTCTTCAGGTGAAGAATGAGACACTACCAAGCTAGGAGCTTATATATAAGCTGGGTTGGAGGTGGAAGAGCGCCTTAACAAAAAGAATGTGCATATGAAGAGGAATTTAGCATATTCATGGGAAATGCGTAGGAGGTGGGTGGGGGTGTTTCATAGTCATATTATGCCCATGCATTATGCAGGATCAACAGCACCAAGGGGGGTGCAGGGAGTAGCATTAACAAAGGAAAGGAATGTTAATAGTATGTAGCTGCAGTTACTAAACAACCACGTAGAAAACTAAAGTATAAACTACATAAAAAACTAAAGTATAAACTGCATAGCACCATCAGTATACTTACTATACTCTACAATAAGCTGAGTTACTAACAGCAAGTAATACATTACAATTCTATGTCGTAAAAATTATATAATATGTTTCCATCTAAACTTTATTCTCTTACATCACACGAGCATACACCGTACTATATACTGCCATAGATAAACCCAACATTAAATTATATACTGTATTGCTATAATATAACACTATGTATTATGTATTATTCTACTCACCCTAATGTGTATCACACTGCTATATGTTTACTATACAATTACGATACTATATATTACTTTGTACATTGTATTAAGCATATAAATGTTATACTGTTTGTTATTATACGCTGTACCATTGACCGTCGTGTCAATGGGTGAGTCGTGGGGGGAAAAACTTGCAGCGGAGCAAAGAATCCATTCCCTGCGGAAAATACAATGCCAGTGAGTGGAACGCGGTCTGAAAGTCACCGTAAACGTGAACACAATCAGTTAAGATCCGAAATGGTTTATTACGTCCTTCCAATGATTGCTAAGCCAGAATCCATCTTCTCGGTTAAAATTGTCTCTGTGTTTGTATATGTGGATCGCCTCATGGACGAATCTCTCATGATAGCCAGATGGCTTGCAGAGAACCTCTGTCTTGGAGAAGTCAATGTCATGTGAGCCCACTGAGTTGTAACAGTGATCTGCCACAGCTGAGGTGTTTGTCCTACCGTGTTTCAGGTCTGCTTTGTGTTCACGGATGCGGTCCGAGACATGTCGTTTGGTTTCCCCAATGTAACTGCTACCACAGAGGCAACTTAGTTTGTAGACGCCAGGGTACTGTATGTCTGGAACCACATCTTTTACAGACGGTACCAGATCACGGATTTTATGTACTGTGTTGAATCGGACCTGGATCTTGTGTTTAATCAGGATTTTGGAGATCTTTTTTGTGACCCCAGCAATGTAGGGTAAGGTGATGGTCTTGAAAGGCTCCTCAACCGGATCCTTCTTGATGGTTGGAGTGATGGCTTTGCGGATTGTGTAGTCGGAATAACCATTAGCCTTAAGAGCTTGGCGTACGTGTTTGAGTTCATTGGCAATGTGTTCCTGGTCGGAGATGCATTGGGCTCTATGATATAGAGTCTTGATGAGGGAATTCTTCTGGGATGGGTGGTGGTGGGAATCCGGTTTTAGGTAAGCATCCGTATGGGTGGCTTTCCTGTAGACAGAGTGGCTCATTGAACCATCAGGTCTCCTTTTGATTAGGACATCCAAAAAGGGTAGCTTGCCATCTTTTTCGACTTCCATGGTGAATCTGATGGCTGGGTGTATGGAATTGATGTGGTCGAGAAATTGGTCTAGAGTAGGCCTGCCATGTGGCCAGATGACAAAAGTGTCGTCTACGTACCTCTTCCATAAGGTCGGGCGTAGAGTGGCAGTCTGGATGGCGTCAGTCTCAAATTTCTCCATGAAGATCTTGGCTACAACCGGAGATAGGGGGGAGCCCATTGGGGTGCCCTCAGTTTGCTTGTAGAAAGTTCCATTCCAGGAGAAATTTGAGACTGACGCCATCCAGACTGCCACTCTACGCCCGACCGCCACTCTAAGTATGTATACTTCACCTGGAATGGAACTTTCTACAAGCAAACTGAGGGCACCCCAATGGGCTCCCCCCTATCTCCGGTTGTAGCCAACATCTTCATGGAGAAATTTGAGACTGACGCCATCCAGACTGCCACTCTACGCCCGACCTTATGGAAGAGGTACGTAGACAACACTTTTGTCATCTGGCCACATGGCAGGCCTACTCTAGACCAATTTCTCGACCACATCAATTCCATACACCCAGCCATCAGATTCACCATGGAAGTCGAAAAAAATGGCAAGCTACCCTTTTTGGATGTCCTAATCAAAAGGAGACCTGATGGTTCAATGAGCCACTCTGTCTACAGGAAAGCCACCCATACGGATGCTTATCTAAAACCGGATTCCCACCACCACCCATCCCAGAAGAATTCCCTCATCAAGACTCTATATCATAGAGCCCAATGCATCTCCGACCAGGAACACATTGCCAATGAACTCAAACACGTACGCCAAGCTCTTAAGGCTAATGGTTACTCCGACTACACAATCCGCAAAGCCATCACTCCAACCATCAAGAAGGATCCGGTTGAGGAGACTTTCAAGACCATCACCTTACCCTACATTGCTGGGGTCACAAAAAAGATCTCCAAAATCCTGATTAAACACAAGATCCAGGTCCGATTCAACACAGTACATAAAATCCGTGATCTGGTACCGTCTGTAAAAGATGTGGTTCCAGACATACAGTACCCTGGCGTCTACAAACTAAGTTGCCTCTGTGGTAGCAGTTACATTGGGGAAACCAAACGACATGTCTCGGACCGCATCCGTGAACACAAAGCAGACCTGAAACACGGTAGGACAAACACCTCAGCCGTGGCAGATCACTGTTACAACTCAGTGGGCTCACATGACATTGACTTCTCCAAGACAGAGGTTCTCTGCAAGCCATCTGGCTATTATGAGAGATTCGTTCATGAGGCGATCCACATATACAAACACAGAGACAATTTTAACCGAGAAGATGGATTCTGGCTTAGCAATCATTGGAAGGACGTAATAAACCATTTCGGATCTTAACTGATTGTGTTCACGTTTACGGTGACTTTCAGACCGCGTTCCACTCACTGGCATTGTATTTTCCGCAGGGAATGGATTCTTTGCTCCGCTGCAAGTTTTTCCCCCCACGACTCACCCATTGACACGACGGTCAATGGTACAGCGTATAATAACAAACAGTATAACATTTATATGCTTAATACAATGTACAAAGTAATATATAGTATCGTAATTGTATAGTAAACATATAGCAGTGTGATACACATTAGGGTGAGTAGAATAATACATAGTGTTATATTAAAATGTATAAGGTATAGGGTGGTTTATAGCAATACAGTATATAATTTAATGTTGGGTTTATCTATGGCAGTATATAGTACGGTGTATGCTCGTGTGATGTAGGAGAATAAAGTTTAGATGGAAGCATATTATATAATTTTTACGACGTAGAATTGTGATGTATTACTTGCTGTTAGTAACTCAGCTTATTGTAGAGTATAGTAAGTATACTGATGGTGCTATGTAGTTTATACTTTAGTTTTTTATGTAGTTTATACTTTAGTTTTCTACGTGGTTGTTTAGTAACTGCAGCTACATACTATTAACATTCCTTTCCTTTGTTAATGCTACTCCCTGCACCCCCCCTTGGTGCTGTTGATCCTGCATAATGCATGGGCATAATATGACTATGAAACACCCCCACCCACCTCCTACGCATTTCCCATGAATATGCTAAATTCCTCTTCATATGCACATTCTTTTTGTTAAGGCGCTCTTCCACCTCCAACCCAGCTTATATATAAGCTCCTAGCTTGGTAGTGTCTCATTCTTCACCTGGAGACGGCTGCTTGCGTTGTAGCCGAAACGTCGTGAGAATTATTTTATTATGTTTTATTTTTATTATTTTATTACTTCCCTTCTACGTGACTTTACCGAAAGAACCAAGAAGAGGTTATTTATTGCTGCATCCTTCACCAAGTTATCCTTCTGCTTCAAGTGCCATGAAGGTGATCACTTTGCTAACAAATATATTATCGTTCATGCCACTTTTCAGTAGGAGATATGGAGCACCTATTTATCAGTGTGGATTGATCAACATCAGTGACACATTCCTCTCTGTTTACTGGTGATCTAGACAAAGGCAGGCAGTTTGTTTGAGGACTTTAAAGGCCGAGGGTTGTGAATCATGGTGTCATTGTAGCTTTCAAAGCTGCCCCTCACTTTCAACAAGGCGTAGGATAGTTTTAGTGAGGATGATGCATTAAGGTAGCACAGTGCTCAAGTGTGCAGGAAAACAAGCAATACTT